GGGGGAAGGAGGGAAAAAAAAAAAAAAAACGGCACAACAAATGCTGTGAGCACTGACTTGAAGGAAAGGCGGAGAAAGAAAAAACTCAAGTTTGTTCTTGTGGCGGTGTTCTTTTCTTTGGCCCACTATCAATAGGGTTCTGTGGCAAGGTCGACGAAAAATGATGACCGCTTTTGAAGGGCGACTCGATTGAGTATTCTGTTGTTCATCCATTTGTCAATTTTTCGTATTAAAGCTCGCTTAAAGTCCTCACTACGCTACGGCCTTGCGTCGAGTGCAATAGTTCAAGAAGAGTTCAAATCTGGGGTCGCATCGAAGGATTCCGTCGACGCGGGAAGCCCTCCGTCCTGAGGAGCTGAGGAGTACGCGCAAGAACAAGCGTTCCCTGCGTATGTACAACCAGTACCGTGGTGAACTATGGAGCACCTCGCTGAGAATCGAAAGCTCCGAATGTGTGCAGGTATCGCACAGCAGACTGCAGCAAAATCAACCTAATTGCTTCTGGTAGTCAAACCATCCCGCTGAAGCAACCTCGCGGAACCTTGATACTTCTATTTACAGCAGTAACTGCTCTGTATGCAAATGACCAGAGGGGGGACCGTGCGGTGGCATTCGTTATCTGTTGGCTCCTTTAATACCGAAGTTAAGTATTACTTCGCCGCCGTCGTGCAAGGCTGTGTTCTATTATTCATCACCACTCTATCCGGCGGTCCAGCACACTCGAGAATCAGCGTGCAGCAACCGAACTTCCCGCCACGCCGCCACTACTGTACCGTGTACCTTTTTTCGTCCATGCGCTATTCAAATCTGTACAAAATGAAACTGTCATTTGAGGACACCGCTACAATACTCAGGACAAGACCTAAGTCCGTCCGCGATCACCCGCCGCATGTCTTCTCGACGCAGGTTGCACTCGGCGGCCCTGAAGGTTGTGCAAGTGTTCACGATGTGAGAGGGTGAAGCAACAGCCCATTCATGTGCACAGCTTCCCGTAACTCCGACTGTGGTGTGCGGACACGGATAGCGTTGGATCGACCCACGGTCGTTGTCGACGGCGCTAAAGAGCAACACGTCGAAATTATCGTAGGGGGTGCTTGAAGAGTCCAGCGGCAGTCGGGCTGTGTGTCAAGGTTTTCATTGGAAGAGGCTGACGCTCGGAGGTGTCGGCATGGGTGGTGCGGCATCGGTGCAAAAAAGCGGAACCGCAGACAGATCGGAGTTCGCCAGCTATCGGGATGATTTTCACAAGGTGCAGTCAGTCGTGTGCATATTATCGCCGTAAGCAACATGTTTCTTTTCAAGCTCACAATGACGGCCATTCTCACACGCCGTCCTTTGTTCGTTGGGAGGAGGAGTCGACTCAAGTCGGAAATACTCTGGTCCGCCGTGTGCACGTATGTAGTCTACGGTGCAGTAGACCTTTTGTGTTGCCTGAGTTCAAAACTCAATCGGTCCGGGCAGGTGCGGGACGGTATGTAGACTACACGGCAGTAGGTGGTGTGTCGAAGCACGCTGCAGCCTTGTACGACTCGTAGAATTCCGCCACTCCGCCATCGTGCATGGCTCGAAAATTAGTCTCTCAACGAAGTGCGGCACTCCAGACTTCTCGTGCGGTAGACTATGATAAGCTGTCGCCTTGTCAATAGTCTGAAGTGCTTTGCACTGCAATGCTGTAAGTTACAAGGGCTATCTTTCATTGAAGGTGTGGCATCACTTCTCCTGTGAGGACCCGTGTTCATCACGTGGCCGTCCGGCCAATCGGAGTGGACCTTGGTGCTGATAATTGTGGATAACCAAAAGATTACGAGTGCTGTTTTCCGTACGAAAAGCCCAACAAGCAGTTATGATATCTTCAATGCAGGCCAAAGGCGCGGGTGTCACCAATCACGAGATTTTCGACAAGATGTCGAAGGCCCGCGTCGCTCTGCCCGACGACGGCGACGACGACAAAGCACGACAGCCGAAGAAAGAGCCCAACCGCCAGATTAGGGCAGGCAGTCACCAGCACATTCAACACCAAGGTACGTTGCCATAGTGTGACGCTGTGCGGTAGGCTGCGACCAAATCAACGATTGCCATGTAGTCTAGGCATGGTTCTGCCATAGCGTGCATGCTTTGCCGAACGCCAACCCGAAAATATCCGAGCAGTAACGTTTCGTGTCGCACAGCCCAGGCGTTCTGGCTAAACATCTCTGCGTGGTACTCGTGTTGCTGCAGCACGATGAATGGTGGCAAATCATACCGCATACACAAGCCAGCAGTTTCAGACCGGAACTCCCGCTTGTCTTCCCAAGACAGAATCATTGAAGCTACAGTACGTTTTGACTAATCATCGAGTGAAGCGTAGACATCCCCGGCAAAGAAGGCAGACTGCTACAGAAGCTACAACAAAGCTGGACATTGTTTTTAAGCCAACCCGTTGTTGTACGACCATATGTCGAACTCTCTGCGGTAGGGAGCTCCATGTCTGCAAAGCTGGTGCCCGACAACCCACGAAGGAATTCAGTGCTCGGCATCACGTTGCACGACAACAAGAAGCACCGGAGGGACCAGATCTTCGAGGATGGCTTCGACTTCACCTTGGCTGATACCAGGAAGGAGATGGCCAAGCAGCAGGGGGGTTTCGACAAGACCAAGGTAAGAGTGTGAGTTGGAAAACATTGGACGCGCCAAAGTGAAGGGAGGAAGAGAGAAAGGAGGGGATCCGCGGGGCAACATCATCACCGAAAGCGACACCAGCGCAATAGTTAATTTGTTGAGGCATGAAACTAACGCGTGGAGCTAGGGCGAGGTGGGAGCACTTTCTTGAAAGCGCATGCCGCCGCCGTACGAAGAGCGTTCGCCTCGCATCACCGAAACGTTGGGACGTGACTCGGCCCTTTTTTCATTATCTGTGTTGGTGATGGTATCAAGTTGTTATTTTCGTCTTTCGCTGAACCAACATTGCGTTGCACAGGAAGTGTTCCAAGACGGAAACGACAAGCTCATTCTGGAGGCACTGGTGAATTTTTTTTTCATAGGAGAGGAAAGCACCAACCAGGTAACGGGAAACGGCAAGTACGAGAAACGGCAAGTACGGGTAGCGGCAATATATATTTTCCCTTCGACCCCACGGTGGTTGTGGTTCTTTGTGGAAGATCTACAACGTTCGTGTTGTTTACAACAAGCCCCGTTTTCGTGTAGCTCTGCATTATGGCGGTCAAGAAGCTGCACTTATCTGTTGTTTAGAATGTGCACGCGAACAAGGTCAAATCGGCGCTGCTTGGTTATCAATGGCGTGTGGTTGTTTGCGCTGCAGTTCGTAGCAACCTGGGATACGATCCTACCGTGCTATGGATGGCGGTAGGTGGTTCCTCTTGAAATCTCGTTCAAGCCGGCCGTCGCCCCCCACCTCTTCCTCAACCAAAACTTACATCGAAGCGACCGCTTGCCGCCCCATTGTACCTCTCCCGTGGTAAAACCCTTGATGCCAATATCGGAACTTTCTGGTTGAGCCAGAAGTTTCGTAATTTTCTCTCTCGTGCTTGTCCACTTTGATCCATGCAGATGAACTCCTTGATCGACTCGATGGAGAAGAGCACGTGCCGCTCGGGAGAGTGGCTCATGCAGGAGGGAGAACCAGGCGACGCCATGTATGTCATCAAGACGGGAAAGCTAGAGGTCTACGTGGGAGGCACCCTGACCCGACATGTGGGCCCGGGCTGCGCTGTCGGCGAGCTGGCGCTGTTGTATCACACACCAAGAAGCGCCAGCGTGAAGGTGGGTAACATTTCTAGGCCCGGTCCAGGGGTTTGGTGACTAGCAAAAGCACCAAGTGCTTTCACGGTACGCTTTCGAATGTGATCCTGGCGGTGCACATGTGGCGCAGATGAAGCCGTTCCATCCTAGTTGTATCACACACCAAGAAGCGCCAGCGTGAAGGTGGGAAACATTTCTAGGCCCGGTCCAGGGGTTTGGTGACTAGCAAAAGCACCAAGTGCTTTCACGGGACGCTTTCGAATGTGATCCTGGCGGTGCACATGTGGCGCAGATGAAGCCGTTCCATCCTAGTTGTATCACACACCAAGAAGCGCCAGCGTGAAGGTGGGAAACATTTCTAGGCCCGGTCCAGGGGTTTGGTGACTAGCAAAAGCACCAAGTGCTTTCACGGTACGCTTTTTCGAATGTGATCCTGGCGGTGCACATGTGGCGCAGATGAAGCCGTTCCATCCTACCACAACACGTTCTCTCTGGATCATTACGCACGGTTTGGTGATATACGATGAGATTCTCGTGCCTCGTTTTCTCATGGGGGCTACCCCCAGTCACCCAGCCT